GGGTGTCTGTGTGTGTATGTGTGTGTGTGTGTGTGTGTGTGTGTGTGTGTGTGTGTGTGTGTGTGTGTGTGTGTGTGTGTGTGTGTGTGTGTGTGTGTCTGTCTGCACAAGAATAAGAGAAGAACAGAGAGAATCAGATCCAACAGTTTCTTTGTGAATTGCAAACAGGTCTCAGATATCATTTATTCTAAAGCAGTGTTTCCCCTACCATTGTCTTGGAGGGGCGCTCTGCCCCGCCAACGGAGCCCCGCGCCCCCTCCCCCCCCCTGAAATTCAAGGTGTTTAAAAAAAGAATATTTTATTTATTTTTTATTGTTTTTATTTTTTTTATAGCACCAAATTGCAAATAATCTATAACTACTGTCACTTTTCCCATTGAACTTGTGCTCTTTTATTAAATAAATTAAACACTTTCATTTTAAGTTGTGAGTTTAGTGTTTTTGACCCTAAGAAACACTGATGCATTAATCAATAACAATAATCCACAGCTCCTCTCTCTGCTCCAGACGATTTAAAAAATATCTATCCCAATGCCACAAAAATGCATCAGTGACGTGGTTGAAATCGTGTCTCCAGAAAACAAAAAACTGAAACAAGCGGTATCAGTGACTGTGTGTTTGATGTGGCTCTTTGCAGTAACATAGAAAAAATGTCGCTCTTATCTCTGACTGGTTGGCCAGTCCTGCTCTATTCCATCTCCCTCCTCTCTATCTGCTGATCTCTCTCTCCATAGAGAATCTGGTGAAGTTTGTGACCACCATGGTGTGTGTGGCTGTAGATGGTAAACCAGTCATTGGGGTCATACACGTGCCATTCACCGGCTTCACTGNAAAATATATATATATAACATTTTTTAAATATATATGGCACTAAATTGCAAATAATCTATAACTACTGTCACTTTTCACATTGAACATGTGCTCTTTTATTAAATAAATTAAACACTTTCATTTTAAGTTGTGAGTTTAGTGTTTTTGACCCTAAGAAACACTGATGCATTAATCAATAACAATAATCCACAGCTCCTCTTTCTGCTCTTGAGGATTTAAAAAAGCAGTAAACCTAGGGGAAACACTGCTAAAGGATTGTGGTGGGTTTTGGACCCATTCAGCTGCTTAGCACACAGTTTGGAATCAGAGGCATAATGCTAGCCTAACTTTGTCCAAAGGGAATCGATTGACCTTACAACAACTCTTGTAAGTTAAACATGCTTGGAAATAGAAAATGAAACCTGGTGGTTTTGGTGGCAGTTGGTGATACAGTTATTTCTTGCCAGCTGTTAGTAGTGACAGTGTCTCTAAAGTCAGATTCATTTACAGTGATTAACCTTGACCTCAACCTCAATTTAATAATATGTTATTGATAACACCTTTACTGTGTGTTTGGATACATTGGAACCAAAACAAGTGGGTTCACAAATAGAAAATAAATATATTG